AATGGAATTCGAAGTCGAATAGGATGGACTTCCAGCTTTTAAGAATTTATTTGATTAAAAAGAAATAAAAGAAGATTTAGATGTCAAATTTCTATTGATGGGGAACACTACTTGTGTTACATCCCACATCGCTCAGGGGAGTGGATCCTTTAATCCTTATATGTATATTCTCATCTCTACCTAGCACGAGGTTTTTTGGGAGCTCACTGGCTTTGGGTTCCATCGGAACTCCGAAGTTAAGCGAGTTCGCGCGAGAGCAATCCCATGATGGGTGACCCACTGGGAAGTTCTCGTGTGAGTTCCCAGAAACAAAACCATGAGGGCGTGGTCGGGGCCCAAAGCGGACAATATTGTGCTACGGTAGAGTTGAGCCCGGGCCGGGATATGACAATTTGGTATCAAAGCCAATCCTTAGTCGGATGTGTTCTTACGAGGATGTCAGGCCCTTAAGGGGGTGTATTGTTACATCCCACATCGCCCAGGGGAGTTGATCTTCTAAGCCTTATATGTATATTTCTATCTCTACCTAGCACGAGGCTTTTTAGGAGCTCACTGGCTTCGGGTTCCATCGGAACTCCGAAGTTAAGCGAGTTCGCACGAGAGCAATCCCATGATGGGTGACCCACTGGGAAGTTCTTGTGTGAGTTCCCAGAAACAACACCGTGAGGGCGTGGTCGGGGCCCAAAGTGGACAATATCATGCTACAGTGGAGTCGAGCCATAGATGTGGTGGGGACCCGGGCCAAGATTCAATTGCCCGGGCCGGGATATGACAATTTGGCTTTTGTGCCAGGAACCCTGAAAAATTTCTCCCATTCTTGAGAATATAAATTACCCACAATGTCAAATTAGATCATTAATCACTGTATATTGGCTTTATTTATTATCATAAATTGAGCAGACTTATTCCTTCTTTCTAGCCCCATTAATTGTACATCCACTAGTAAAAAAAAAAAAAAAACTATTGTTTGAAAACTTTGCGCAACGAAATCCAAATATTTCGTTGCCTAAACCCATTTCATTTTCCTTTTTATTTAATTTTATATTTTAAATTGTAAAATAAATTATTTTCATAGTTTTTATTATTTTTGAAAAACTTTGCTCGTCGAATATTAATATTTCGTCACCTAAACCCTATTTATTTTTATTTAATTTTATATTTTATATTTTATATTTTATAATGTTAACCTAAATTATTTTCTTTGCATGACAAATCAACATTTAGTCACCTAAACCCTATTTATTTTATTTTATTTATATTTTAAATTGTAAAATAAAATTATTTTTCTTTTTTATTATTTTTTAAAAACTTTACGCTACCAATACTAATATTTCGTCGCATAAACTCTGTTTATTTTATGTTTAATTTAATTTTATATTTAAATTGTCTAATAAAATTTATTTCTTTAAATTTTGCGCGACGAACCAATATTTCGTTGCACAAAATTGTTAAACTTGGGCAGGTGCCGAAAATGGGATTCGGTAAATTTAATTTTTAATTTTTTTTTTAAACTTTGCGTGACCAATCATTTCATAGCGCAAAACCTCGAAAATGTGGGTGGGTGCCAAAAATGGGGCGCAGGAATTTTTTTTAAGACTTTGCGCGACTAATCTTTTGTCACGCAAAATCGTGTAATACCCTGAAAAATTAAAATATAAGTTATATTTATGGTTATGTGGGGGAAAAAAAATAATAGAGAACTCTAGAAGCTGCCAGATAGCAGCAGGGGAAAGGAAGGAAGGAGAGTGCGGGAGAGAAAAGGAAGGAAGGAGAGTGCGGGAGAGAAAAGGAAGGGGAAATGGGCCAATCAGAAGGGGAAGCAAGGAGGGGAAAGGAGGGGGAGAAAACCACCCAAACCATACCCCCTAGCAACCCGCAACCCGACTCGGCGGCACCCATATTTTACGATGCCTTTCACGGTGGTTTTCAAACGAGTTGAAGCCACTCACCACTTGGAAAACATTCTCCGTTGTTCCCTCTACCAATTTCACCCCAAAATGGAAGAAATTTGGCTCGATTTCACGAAGAACCGCACCGGTCGGTGTGGAGGTTCTATGGCGGCGATCCATCAATCCTGAAGCTAACTCCATCAACCACTACCACCAATAGACTCCCCTCAACCTCAGGAGCAAATTCCATGCTTTGGTTGGGGCATCGGAGCTATTTTGGAGCCGAATCAAGAACACCCAAATTTAAGGGTTTCCAACGGTTCGATTTGAGATGTTTCTCGGTCGAATTGGACTTTAGCCCAGGTATGAAAGTTGTTCCCCTTGGCTTGATCTACATTTTTGTGAAATTTGGTAATTTTTGGAAATAATTGAATTTTCTGACGACTCGAGGCGGTCGGCTGAGGCGTGGTGGCAGCGCATGGGCTGAGACCCCACCTACCATTCCTAGACTAATTTGAATACCCTGATTTCCACATGTGATGTTCGATTGACGAAATCTCGTCGTATGACTATAGTTTTGATTAGGACCACCACTTGGACATTATATGAATCGACGATCCAACTGTTGGATCGTCACCAAAATTTAATACGTAATAGTACGTAATATTTTAGGACAATAGGAACTTACGGATCAGGAATCCAATATACGGATCTTTCCGAAATGAATTTCTAAGTTTGTAAAATAAAACGTTGACCGCCACTTGAATTTAAGATTGGCGGAAATCCAGTCGTTGGATCGTAATAAAATTTTAGTATGTTGTTCTAGAGGAATAATGTGAATGTTAAGAAGTTACAGATCATAAATCTGATAAGTGGATTTTCCAGTTTAGATTTCTAGGGTTGTGAACCCTATCCTCGATCTTGATCGACGGTTGACTTTTTATAGTCAACTAAACCGAGTTTCTAGTGTGCCTTTTATCTTAGAGTGTTGTTGACATCTCGTGAAGCTTAGTGGACTCATTGCGACGACATGTGTGTTGTTTCACATATGAGTGACTATAATATGGTTGATTTATATTGAATTATTATTTTATTCTATTGTCATTGTTCTACGTTTGTGAATTGTGAACTACGATTGGCTTAATCCCTCCAAAGGGTAAGTAGGCAGTCTAACGAGAAGTTAGATGCAGTAATAAAATAAATGAGATTAAATTTTAGTGGAAATTTGTCAAATTGAGAAATGTTATAATGATTATTAACATAAAGGGTAACTATGATATTTTTGGCCTACAACTAAAGGTAAATTACGAAATAAATTGGTGGGGCGTTACAAATCGTATCCTTCATCACACAAGGTGATACGGTTTTTAAAACCAAAATAACTCCTCCACAATTTTCTCAATGTATCTCCTTAGTTCTCTTACCTCTCCTCTCCTTCCCTCTCCCCAAATCCGACCCCCTATCTCACACTCAATCTCTCATCTCTCTCTCTCTCTCTCTGTCTCACTCTCACTCACTCTCTCACTATCTCTTCTCACTCTCTTACACTCTTTCCTCTCTCCCTAACTCTCACTTACTCCTCTCTCCCTATCTCTCACTTACTCCTATCTCCCTATCTCTCACTCACTCTCAATCTAGCCAAAAGGTATTTTCTCTCTAAATTTTAATCTATTTTTCATTAATATGTGTTTTTGGAGCTAATTTTGGGTTTGGGTGGTGTTTAGGGTATGCCGATTTTAGGGGAGGTTATGCCCATTTTTAATTTGGTATTATTTTATGTTTTTTTTTTTGGTTATTTGACCTTTTTTTGTTGTAGGAAATCGTCGGGAAAGTTGAAGATTATGACGTTATCAGACCACATCCCCCGCCACCACCACCACAATAGACTTGTATTAGGATTTTATTATTGTAATTTGTTAATTTATATGTACATTTTTAATAAAATATATATTATGGATAATTTGATCACTTTTTTTCATATGTAATTTTATTTTGAATATGTCAATTTAAATTAAAGTAAATTAAAAAAGTAAAAATTCAAAAAATCTTGTAATTTTATTTTGAATATGTCAATTTTAATTTGATCACTATCATGCTACCGAAGTTAAGCAAGTTCGGGTGAGAGTAATCCCAGGATGGATGACCCATTGGGAAGTTCCTCATGAATTTCCAGAAACAAAACCGTGAGGGAATGGTAAGCCCAAAGTGGACAATATCGTGCTACAACGGAGCCAGTTCGGGGTGTGACATTTTTTGTAATAGTGATCGTCTGCTTTAATGCACTATAGTTGTCTCCTTAACTTAATCATAAAATCAATCACCAAAGTCACAAGAAACTTCACTGATTGGCTTTTCTTCTGGATGCATGATAATGCTAGAAGTCTTCTTTATTGCCACTATAGTTGTCTCCTTAACTTAATCATAAAATCAATCACCAAAGTCACAAGAAACTTCACTGATTGGCTTTTCTTCTCGATGCATGATAATGCTAGAAAACTAAAGGCTTAATAATAAATTGTTAATACAACCGAGATGTTAGTATAGGAGAGAATTTTCAATGCCGAGAACACAGACCAATACACCAAGTATTATAATCTAAGTTGTTAGAAACTGTCATTTGTATTACGACACTGAATGTACTGGTGAGCCGTATTCCCAGCAACTAAAACATTTATCTCATTATGCATCATCCCAGGTTTGAGAATGAACTTCTTTGTGATGAACTTCAGTTTTCTAGTATTTCATTTGTCAAAATCTTTATAAATAAAGAGCATTTTGAGTGAGAGAAAGCTGGAACACACACTCATGAAGGATTTGATTTTTAATAACATATATCATCACAAGTTGGATGAAAAGACATTATTACAGAGGAAATAAATCCAAAGACTATTCCAAACTCAAAGACAATACTGATTCAATATTATCAGCACTGGAAAAAAAAAATCCAAGCAATTAAAGTAAAAGAAAATCGCATGGAAAAGTTTATGTTCTTGATTTATTTCTTTTTCGTCGATTTTTTGGAAATTAACAGACTACTGCAAAATGACAATCACATAAAACATAAACGAAGATACACACATAAATTTCAGGTACAGTAGTACTAATGGAATATCAAAGCTTTTCTTCTGTGGTGTCGAACTTGAAGTCGAAGGTATTGACACCAGTATAAACACCATCGTCTATGTTGCTAGTAATTGTTTCCCCGCTCATGAGAGTGTCGCGCTGTGTGTAGGAGAAGGGAACATCAAATGAAGCCTCGGTTGCTACATACTTCACCTTCACCCTAGTCATTGCTTGTAGAACATCTTTATACACAACCTCCTTTTGACTACTTGTGACTGTCTCAGTTTCTCCAAATTGAGCTGTTCCAGTAAATCCAATCTTCACCTTGTTATCGTCTGCAATTATTGGAATTGCGGTATTGGTACTGCTCTTGACACCAGGCAACTTCAAAATCGACAAGACGCTAGAGTACTTCCAAGTACTTCTCGTTGTTTGTGTATACGAAAGCTTTACCTCTACAGGGTAAGATTCTTTGGTACGGTTAACGACCTCTCCCACGGCCATTTCAACAACGTGTTGGTTGTAGATCCTTGCACGATAGAGGCGAAGAGAAATACCACTGATATCCCTCCATAAGGGGAGAACCTCTTCCACCTCAAGGTACGCCTCTTTGTCAATAGTGGGGGCATTTGCATTGAGACTGCTAGTAATTGTGCTGATGGTAAATCTCTTGCAGAAATTATTGTTGCGTATGCTGCGGAGAGCAATGACATTGTCACCTACTTTGATCGGCCAAAACAAGGTGTCGGAATCATTGTCGCTGGAGTCATCTGAGTCGGCACATATCCAGTCGTTCTTGGAAAGTCTCCAGAATTTCCCCGAGGAATTGGACTTTATGCGGACAGTTCCATCAGCGTTGGTGAAGACCTCGTTTCCCACAGATGGATCTTCAATGTCGATGGATTCGAACTGCAGCAGATGTGGTTGTTGGTCGATCAAGCGGGCACTGAGGTAGTTGCCATTACGGCCTTTGAACGCCACATGCTTGGGAAGTAACTTGACTGGCACCAATGATTCCCAGTCGATGACCATGAACACATCCATAAACTTCTGGCTAGGCGATTCCCCATACGTGTATATGAAACCCCAGTATTTGTCATTCGGATTGTTTTGTACCAATGCTACGTACTTTCCATTGTGGACATGGCGGAATCGGAGTACTATATAATTAGTACTTCTGGCATCATGAACCGGGAGACTATCATCATATGCGTAGATAGGCTCAAACAAGGTACACGAGAACTTGGATTTGTCTTCGTCTGGTTCATCAGCACCAGCAACAATCTGAGTATAACCACAAGCAGGCATCACCCAGTATTTGTTGTTGTAGCAGCATCTAATGTGCACTAGTCCCTCATTCCCATTACTCTTTACCTTCTCCACTTCAAATTTTGTGTATTCGCTCCATGCTTCCTCTCCTGTGAAATTGATATACCTTGCAGCTGGCATGACTCGCTTCAGATTCTCATCTGCATCAATATTGAATCGCAAATATTTGTCATTGTAGTTCGACTTGATCACCACAAACCTGGGCAATGTTGACATTTTAATTCTCTCCTCGCGAGGTTCTGAAGTCGATCCCGATCTCCCACAACTCGCGTTAACTTAAGCACTTCTCCAGAAAACTTGGCTATGTTTCATCAACCATCTCATGTCCCACATTATTAATCGTCATGACATCACGGCATCTCATTTTCAAACATTATATTGGGAGAAAGGATGGTAGATGTCGTACGAAAATAATGGTGGTGGTGCTTCCTTATATGATGGGTGTTGCAATAATGGAGGTGATGCATTGTACTTCAAACATGTGAGGTACTCTATTTGTCTTTGTCCGAAGTTTTGTCTCAATTGGTTTATATCCGGAAGATTTTTTACCGAGGCACACGATCTAGCTTTATGTTTTCTTTCTTGGAAGCCTTTGTATTTTATAGTTAGCAGTGCTAATGTTTGTGAGGCCTTTTTTTGTTTTATGATGTTCCATAAAGCATCTTATTCAACAAAAATAAAATAAAATTAATAGATATAAATTAAGCCATGGCATCACGGATTACATAATATAGTTGAATACTGAACAACTAGAAGTTAGTAGTGGATAAAGAAAAGAAAAGGAGGCTCTATCCACTGTTTGCCTCTAGTTGTACAGCATTCAACATAATATAGTTCTTAATTATCTCGTAACAAATAGTATTACTAAGGGTAATATTGTAAAGGACAAGACTTAGTGTTTGTTAAGAATTTGTTAAGAGTTTGTTATTTTAGGTTTATTAGTTTTGGTTAGTTAGATGAGCTGTCATTACAAGGGTATTAATATCTTTTACATATACACCTGTAATATTATTTTCATTATGAAATTATTATATTAAAAATTGATAAACATGCAACACTCACGGTCTTTTTTACCTCTCATATATCGTTGTTTAACCATGTTTGTTGTTTCCCTTTGATTTAATCCATCTGATGGCCAGAAATAAAAAGAGGTGTGTGAAAAGTTAAAAATGGTATGTAAAAACCACATCCCATAAAGAATATATACAAAAATGGTCTTTAGACATGAAATTACAAACTTTGTTTCTATTCTGGTAGTATTCCCCAGTTTGTATTTGAATAAAATATCCAAATCTACACTTCATATATCCAATCTACAGTGCCGATCTCTATCCTTTTGTGAAAGTCTTGGTACCTTCTGATGCATCTAATGAAGCTCATAACCTATCCAGTTGCTTCTTCCGTTGGTTTGCCCTTTTTCTAGTTTCTTTTCATATTAAGAGATGACTACGGCGAACATGCTTCACGTTCTTTGTGTTCTGATGTACATGCATGAATTTGGGCCACCGAATCTGAATTTGAGCAGCGGCAGAAAACTCATGAACTATCACGCGGAGTAGGGAAGATAAGTCCATCTTTTAGATGCCCTACTGATGTAGGACATAACCATTTCAGCACATTTGGACCCAAGACCTGATCAAAAGAAAAATGACTTGCAATGTTAACCTTTCTCACAGATTTTAATAACATATATATGAAGATACAAAATACACACACAGAGGGGGCACAGAAAGAGTGGGATAGATAGAGACCGAAGTGATGTTTGTGTAGATACTAAGATTGTACGGATGTCTGTAACTCTGCCCAGATTTCTTAACCAACCATGCTGCCCGTATTCCTTCATAATACTGGTAAGAGATCCAAGTTAGCTCTGTGTCAATTATTCAGAGAAGGAAAAAATAGCTCCAGTTCCAATTACAAAATGTCACAGTTACCTCTATAGTTGTCATATTCTGGGTGATGAGGTAGAAATGCCAACCTAAAAGAGTTCCAAGCATTAAGCTCAAGGAAGCCATCACTAGTCCAGACACAACCTGAATAACCAGTAAAGATGATTGGTGATGCAACAAAGGCTTTTAAGTTCAAATCACTTTGAACTGCAATAGAACTTCATTAAAAATTCAACTAAATTAGAGTAATAAATCTTTAACTTTCTAAGTAGTTGACTAAGCTCAAGTTGTTATAAAGATGAAAATCTGTTGTAATGGACACTCTCCCACAATAAATTGATCGGCTAATTAACCTTCTCAGTAGCACTATTTGTAATCTATCCTAAGTTCCAAATTCAATTCAAAATTCCTGTTTATTTAATGTACTTTATGGTTCGTTGCCTTAACATTTCATAACTGATAGAATATATTGTTGGTCCAATGCAAGTTATTTTTCGGTACGTGCTATCAATTACTAAAACGGACTCATTTATATGACTGTTACACTAAGCAACTAGTCCTCCAAATTTCTGTGCACTGTAACAACATGCCACACTTTTGAAATTTGATAAAACGGACTCATTTATATGACTGTTACACTAAGCAACTAGTCCTCCAAATTTCTGTGCACTGTACCAACGTGCCACACTTTTGAAATTTGATAAAACGGACTCATTTATATGACTGTTACACTAAGCAAAGCAACTAGTCCTCCAAATTTCTGTGCGCCACACTGTTGAAATTTGAGCCATGAAACATCCGTTGTAGTAGAAAGCACTATATCTGCATCTAACTCGTTAAGTGTGCATAAACACAGAAGAGGCTTAACTAGGTTCTTGATCTAACTTAAGTACGTAGGAATTTACTCCAAATCAAGAAATCAGAAACAGATAAACGTCCTCAGCGCCAAAGAAAAAAACCAAAAGTGCAATAACTCACATAAAAAACCTTGTGACTAACACTTCCACTGAATTCTAAGTCCTTTTGAGATCCACACTTTATAATGATCACCTAAACATGTTGAAAACCTTCAGTCAGAATTTGAGGCAGCTTATTATTATATGATAAAGTTCATAACATGTAAAAGGAAGAACCAGACAAACTTAACTGTAGAGTACAAGCATCCTAGTGTTGCATAAAAAACAAGCATAAAAAATGCCTTGTAGTTCCAGTAACCAACACAGTTATTGATCCACAGGCAGTGATGATCCTGCACCCAATTTTGGCATGAAAAATATAAACGGAAAAATATAATGTGTGCAAAAGAATCATGAATAATATAACATGGAAATGAGAATGTAATTCAACCTACCATTCTTAAAACACACCTACGGCAAACCCGACAATGATGAGCCCTGGGAGGCTTGAATGTAGAACACTTGTCACAGCGCCCCTGTCAGAGATCAAGGATCCAAAGTTTCAAAATTAGCTACAGAGAGAAGAAATCAGCATTACTAATGTGCAGCTAGGCACACCGCAATAAAGTATTTGATGACATGAACTCTTCAGAAATTCATTGAAAGTGGGTTGCAGGGGGAAGAGAGAGAGAGAGAGAGAGAGAGCGCTTTGCTTTTATCTTGTGTCACTATGTCCTGTGTCCATACTCCTATGGTTGCAATTGTATAAGCTTTACTTTCAGTTTCATCTCACTGGTAACCTAATTATATGACATCTCTATCTCTACTATACTAACAAATATCCACCTTGATGAAACAGGTAAAAGAACTGACTCACGCTTGAACGATCTCCTTCAACAAGCAATGCAATCGACTCAGTAGTCCAACTCTCATATTTTCTATGCATACTCCCTAAACAACCAAGCTTTAAGCATGTATGTTGACTAATTTGTTGATGCCGCTCTCAGCAAACAAAAAATGAGTAACTCATAAAGATTTCTCAATTCTCACTGTTTTTCGGCCTAAACCCGATAAATCACACAAGAAACAGATATAAGAGCCAATGGGGTGAGAATAACTACTAATCTGTATTGCCATTTGCCAAGATTCAAAAACTTATTATTTGACTTGCTATAAAATGAATCCACTCAAATGAGCATCGAAATCATACCAAATTTCACAAACAACAGTTAATCTAACTAACCCTTAGTCGAAACGAGCATCGAAATCATTCATCAAATCTATAACATGACTAATTAGATACATTCTCAACAACCCATTAACACACCACTCAAAACTTGCATTCTACTCAACATCCAAACATAAAGCATTAAAACCAAAACTTCAATTCATCATCTTTCCCTCAATTTTCTCACCAACCAAACAGAAAATAGCAAAAAAGCGTTCCAAAAAGCTCACATTTTTCTTAGATTCTTGATCGGAGACCGCACTATCTTCAACATCAGGGACGTAGGAAGCAGGAACATGACCTGGGTTGGTGAGAACACAGCAAAAAAAGGAGAAGAGGCAGAGAGATGCCAAGAAAATGAAAACCAGAGCGTTCAGAGAACCAGCGTAGCTCTTCAATCCTACCCAATCGTCGATGAAGATGAAAACCGTGATGTAACACACAACACCAATTAACAGAAACACCATTAAGATTGGGATTGACAGGAACCTTTTGAACTTCATCGTGGGTTTGGAGGGAGATGGAATCAACAGGAAAGTTTTCCCTTGTTTTTCTGGGAATTCTGTGTCCGAGGAAGGTCCGAGCCTTTTCCTTGCTTATTTCTTTGTACTTTTTAGTTTCTAAATGTACCCAAGAATTTTAGACAAAATCACTTTTGGTCCTCTAGTTTGTTTGTTTGTTTTTGTTTTTGTTTTTGTTTTTTGTTTTTTTTTTTTTTGGGTCAAACTCCTCTAATTTGGTTGAAGTTCACTTTTGTCCTTGTGATGTCAATTGTCTCAATTTTCGTTCGCATAGTTTAGCCGATATAACACATTGCATTTTTCATTCATTTTAATTAATGAAAAAAAAACATATTTACAGATCATATTCATTCATCTCATAATCAGGCGCAATCCATTTAAAAATATAAAATAACAGTATTTGTAGCATAATATATCGACTATCTCTGTAATAAAAACATTTATAGGCATGTGAATGTATTAAAGAGATACTCAACAATACATTCAATAAAAGTGGTCAAATAACATCACTAAAAATAAAAACTTAACAAGTTATAAAAGATCTAAGCCTCCAAAGAATAGAGTATAACCTACAACAGTGAAGAACGTTTCTCCCTAGACATCATGTTAGTCGTCCTTTCCATTGCCTTGTGCAAGGTTTTTGTCCCATAATATTCTTTTAGGGCCTTTATTTTGGCGATTT